GTGTGTGTGTGTGTGTGTGTGTGTGTGTGTGTGTGTGTGTGTGTGTTATGCCCACCACGGGTTTTGGAAGGTTTTTAGCGTTATAAGCTTTCAGAGTTATCGTTGAGACACTAGGGAGAATATTCAGAACAAGAAAATGGCCAACCAATGCAATTTTAAAATTATTTGAGTGTTATTCTACAAAGGGAAAATTAAAAGTAAAAACTTTTGTAAAAGTTTTAAATAAAGTTAATACTTCCAACTGGAGGTTTTGAAAAGAAAAAAAAATTTATATAACGACGATTTTATACGTCAGATCACAAGAAAATAAATGTTTGAATTTTCTTTTTAAACAAACTAAACACGTTTTTTTTTTTATCATTATTTGTTCTAGAAAATTTGCAGTTATTAATGAAGTTATTATGGTTAATTTCAAAGAATACAAGTTACAGAATAACATCTATATTTTGATCTGTTAAATAACTATTACCAGAGCTTATCCTGCTTCCTATAATGTGTTGGTTTAAAGCATTGTAGAAAAAAGAAATTACCGGTTGCTGTTAAAATGTTATTGATTTTACTACATTTCAAACAGACATTCTATCATATCGTGACTAAACTACTTTCGGTTGGTAGAAGTTCTTAAGGTGATAACTGTTCGTGAGTAAAAACATATACAAATCGATTTTTTTCTAAGCGTTCATCCTGTCAAAAACACTATCCTGAAAAGAAGTGAAATAGAAATATCGGTAAAGAATAAAGAAAAATCCATTTCGTACTGAATTTCTTTAAACGAAGCAGTTTTGGTTGACAGAATATAGAAAAAATATATAAAGCCTAAATATGTCACATATAAAATAAAAAGAACGTCGGCTAAATATGGTGTTACCCGTGCATTTCATATCGTAGCTCTTAAACATTTCGCAGGAGGAATGCCCATCTCCCTCCCTCCCCTCCCCCCCTCCCTTCACCTCTACAGCCTACAAACAGTTATCCAAATTTCAAAATTAAAGTTTGGTAATAAGATAAATAGTTGGAATACATTTGAATGTTATTTAGGGTAGCTATCAATTAAATCCTTTTCAGGGTTCAAATTTACCCATATTTACATACATCATAGGTTATGTCATTACACTCAAATACGGAATTATTATTCCTTATCACCAAGAGATAATTGGCTGTGATGTAATTGAGGAAAGTAAGAAAAAAACTGATGGTTAGAAAACAAGGTAATAGAAATGCAAATAGGTTTCCTTCTCTCCTTAACAACATAAACAATAAAAGCGTTGCGTGAAGTCGCTTCTCGTAACTTCTCTCACTTCTGTGGGCACTACTTTAAGAAAACTTTGAAAAACCGTAGGCAAGCAGATTGAAATATGAGCAAGAGCACATATAGCTACTATATTTAAATGTTAATTTTATTCGCATATGAAGCTTGTGAACAGTTTGATCTCATATCGTTTCTCATTATCAATATGTAGGGTTCACACTACATAAAGTTGTGCCCAGCTTTTATTTGTTGTTGTTTTTTTTTATCGTATGTATGCATCACTACTGGATTTTATACAACTTTATCAAAAGTCTTGAGATGTGTTCTAATGATTCCTTTTGTTTTATTTGAATTACGGCAACGCCGTCCGTAATTTTGAACTACTGAGCAGGGGGAAGACAGTGCGGGTGATTGGGTGCTGCTGATTTGGCTAAGAGATTGACAGTCATTCTTATAGCACACTTACAGTTTAAAGTGCGTGGAAAATTGTGGTATTGGATGGATTCAAAAACGGTTCGACAGCTCCAAAACCTAGATCTCTATAATAGGGTCAAACAGAGTCTCCCTATTATTTTAGATTATAAAATTCTTCAGCTTGTAACGAATTTGTTATGTATTTATCTTAATATGAACGTTGTCTAGATTATGTTTATATTTTAAAACATGTATAGCTTGTAGTGTTAGATATGTATTGCGAAACTCTCACCTATTCTCCAAAGTTGTAGAAGATTATCGAGAGTAGGAATCAACAATATATCTATATACGTAAATATTTAAATATAACTCAGTATTGTTATGTAAACTGAATTTTCTGGTAAAACCTTCCACGGCTATAAATATAACCAACGAGATGCGCCAAGAAGAGTATCTATTATTAGTTCGCTATAATCAGTGTGCTATAAACGTCGAAAGATATAACTGATTTTTATATAACGCTTATCATCGGAAACTTAAGATATTTGTCCAGAAATGTTTATAAATTTTAAGCATTACAAATTGTTTAACTTCAGTGGATTCTCATCGGACATTAATATTCTTACGAAAACATTACCTAACTTCAACGGTGGAAAACC